TTTTTTTTTTTTTTTTTTTTTTTCTTTTTTCCGTGTCCGGCAACGGATCGCAACCCTCAGTGTTGGCCCCGTACCGGACCGGGGACCGGCAACGGGATTGCAACCCTTGGTGTTGCTCCCGCGCCCCGCTCAGCCAGTGAGCGGGAACCGGTCTGTATGTGGGATCTGAACCCTCAGGCGGGAGCGCCGCCGCGCTTCCCAAGCGGCGCACTATCCAGTGCTCCACCGGGCCGGCCCGGTATTGAATTATTTTTAACAGCTTTATTGGGGCTTAACATATATAACATAAAATTTATTCATTTTAATTCAGTGATATTTAGTAGATTTACAAAGTAGTGCAACCATCACTACAGTCCAGTTTAAAGCATTTCCTTCACTCCAAACAATCCCTTATGCCCATTTGTAGTCAATCCCTTTTCCACCTCTAAATATTTGAAAAAATGCGGGATTTAGAATACTCTTAACTTTTCTCTGAAGACAGGGAAAGAATAAAAGATAAGAGACCTACTTTCTAACATGATAACCAGAAATATTATTTTCTTATTTAAATGTAGTTTAACCACATTTCTAAAAAAGTACAGAACTAAAAACCAACCCTAATCTTACCTCAAATACAATAACACAAGTATGTTGGTTGGCATTCAATCTAGCATCAACAATATTTGAACTGTATTTTGTGAGGCATATATTTCAGTGGTCATTATGGACCTTGCTGAATATACTTTTGTTTTCTCCACCTGACCTTTTTTCTATTTCATTATCTATTCCTTTACGTTTTCATACATATACATGCATGTGAGATTTTAAAAATAACTTCATTGATATATAATTCAGATACCATAAAATTCACCATCTTAAAGTATGCAATTTAGTGGCTTTTAGTAAATTCACAAGGTCTTCACCACTATCTAATTCCAGAACATTTTTTCACCCCAAAAAGAAAACCCATATCCATTAGCAGTCACTCCCCATTCAACCCTTATGCAGCCTTTGGTAACCACTAATGTATTTTCTCTATCTCTATGGATTTTCCTATTCTGGACATTTCATAAAAAGGGAATCATATAATATGTAGCCTTTTGTGTCTGACTGCTTTGACTTAGTATAATGTTTTCAAGGTTTGTCCATGTTGTAGCATATATCGATATTTCATTCCTTTTTTAAATTAATTTTTAACTGTGGTAAAATATATGTAACATAGAATTTCTCATTTTAACGTGTGTACAGTTCAGTAGCATTAAGTACATTTACATTGTTGTGTTGTCATCACCCCCATCTATCTCCAAAACTTTATCTTGTAAAATTGGAAAAGTACCTATTAAACAATAACTTTCCCTTATTCTGTTTTTTCATCTCCTGGCTGCCATCATTCTGCTTTTTGTCTCTATGATTTTTGACTGCTTTAAGTACTTCATAAGTGTGGAATTATACCTTTTTTTTGTGACTGACTTATTTCACTTAGAATAATGTCTTCAAGATTTATCCATGTTGTAGCATATCAAACTTTCCTAAATTTTTAAGGTTGGATATTGTATGGATATACCACATTTTGTTTATCCATTCATCTGTCAGTGGACACTGGGTTGTTTCCACCTTTAGGCTATTTTGAATAATGCTACTATAAACATAGGTATCTATTCTGTCCCTGCTTTCAGTTCTTTTGGGTATATACCCAGAAGTGGATATATGTGGTAATTCTATTTTTGATTTTTGGGCAATTGCCATACATACATACATAGTGGCTAGACCATTTTATATTCCCACCAGCAGTGCAGAAGGGTTCCTATTTCTCCACATCCTTGTCAACTCTTATTTTCTCTGGTTTTTTTTTTTTTTTTTTTTTTTTTTTTTAA